ACTCGTATATGTCACTAAACAGGATATTGAAATAAAGTACACTTAACAATTATTTTTTTATTGTTATAGGGGTTATGATTTCTTTACACACATTTAACAATTATTTTTTTAATATTATAAGGGTTATGAATTTACTACGTAAACACACCCGCTTTAAATAATCTCTTTTAATCTATCATTTAACTGGCTAAGCTGCGTTGAAAAATTAAATACTTGAATGTCAGGGTTATGCTTTTTGTATGATAATGATGACATTGAAGTCAATAATTGTTGACATGATAGAAAGTATCAAACATCATGTCATTAAAATACGCAGGAAGATTATTTTTAGATAGAAATATATATTTTGTCTACAGTTAATACAAAGGTTTTTGTTAATTTGGTTATCTTACTAATATGATAAAGGTGAAAGTTTGTAGGTTTGGATGTTTGTTACTTTTTACGCTAAAACTATTGAACGGATTTTGATGTAATTTGTGAACGCTGCCTAAGCGGTAAGACATATGAATGCCTTCTAAAGAAAAGTTGAAGAGCTTTAAATTATCTACAAAAAGTCCACGATGGCATATATCTATGTATGTGCTAAGGTTTTGCCCCAGAAGTAAAAAAAAACTTCGTAAAAGTGTATTGAAATCTTTTGTCCGTCTTTATACGATTATTTGAATAGGTGATATTAAATCTTTAACGAAATAAATATGCTTATCATCAAAGAAATTTCATGTACATAAAAATTGTATTTTACACCAAATAAATTGGATGACTAGTTTAGATTTTACTACAATGTTTTTTAGAAAGGAAAATTACTTATATTGGCGATTTTCTAAACACTATTTGTGTGCATCTATCTATTCTATACTATTTACCAAGATTTTTTCAAATGTTTACGTTAACATGTAAATATTATTGTTTTACAAATAAAAATAATAAAAGCAGAGATGGTTAAGGGAGCGTTTAGTAACAAGAAACACCTATTCAAAGTAATATTAGCAGAAAATTATCAGCAGAAATATAAGGCTTATTTAGTGTTAGAGAAGAATGAAAAAAATAGCTGCATTGAACTACAATCAATTGAACGACTGCTGGGAACAGAGACGGCTGCAAGGTCTGCCGTATAACTACATTGGTTGACATTGGATTGTAGTCAACGTTCAATATGTATTGTTAGATCACATATGTAATATGTTTAATATATCGGGTTGAACTTAATGCAATTGAACGTTGAGTGCATTTTGATTAAATACAATATCAATCAAATAATCAAACGAGGAAGAACGTATGGACACTTCATACAATGAAAACGACTTCTTTTAAACAAGGCTGGAAGCAAAAATAAGCTAACGACAAGTTAAACTTTGATTTTGATACTACAGAGAATCATACGGAAACGAAGGGAAGTTCAGTAAACGTGCTAAGCAAAATGTCAATTCATACAATCTCTAAAACTCGGTAGATCACTTACAGCAGTATATTCTGGCCCAAAACAATAATAGAAATAAACATGAGGTGCGTGCATACCCTTTGGTATTCCATGGAAAGGACATTCTCAAAAAACCGGTCAAGTGCGAGTTGAACTTGCACAAGGTTCCTTACCGGAAAGGAGACAATAACCCGTTGGTTGTATGGCAACCCCTTAAATAATGAATTTATTTCAATGAATAAAGTGAAGGTTACTTTAAGTGAAGGTTTTATTGATGTGTGTATTGAATCGACTCTGTTGAAATCTTAAACAGATAGGAGAGTAAAAATTAAATTCTCCCGGTTTTAATAAATCTCGGGCGGGCCTGGACGTGGCTCGTGTTAGACTAATGCGATATTTATCGCCCCACCGAAGAAATGGGACATTGTAAATAAAATAACAAGCAGTATCTCACTTTTTTAGAAATAAGAGTTCACTTCCTCCTGAATAAGAAAAATACGTAGGTCGTAAACTTTTTCTTAGTGGGTAAGGGTCTTACCATGACCTATTATAACAATGTTTGATCCGAACAACGTACGTAAAAATTGTGGTGTAGCTCGCTGAGCAGATTAAGCGTTGCTATAAGAGCTCATGGTTAGATCCCTGCTCAGTGAGCGGGGGGAGTCCCACACACTTCCTGCGGTCCCGTCAAGTGGCTGAGATAGTCCGTAAAGCATTCTCCCTGGTAAAAGAAATGATTTTCACGTAAGCCGGAAATTGACGAACACGCACGAACGACTGAATATCTTTGTTCATAGTGAATGCCTTCTGATGTTTGTTTTTATGTTTAAAAAGGTATTTTCTTACGCGGATCCCATTATATATATATGATTGAATTTAAAATTTATTGAAATCGGATAAGTAGGTTTGTATTTATATATATGAAGTGGAATACTACATACGTCTAAATTACCTTGACGATATCGTTGTCACTGAAAATTGTTGAAAACTGAAACTCCTGAAAATCACGGCCAACATTTACTCACCCAAATTTTTAAATAAGTTTTTTCACAAATTACGCACAAATGTGAGACTCACCAACTGCACGGACTCGCCTCAAAGCGCTAGTCAAAGGGCGGATAGCATATCGAATAAAGCCTTAAAGCGACCCTTCGTGCCGGAAACTACCCGAGATCTTAGCGGAACCAATGAATTTCTCAAGCACTTGTTACGTTCGCTTATACTTATAGACTTGTGTGCTATACGAGTATGATAATATTTTTAGGGGCCTGTTTAGGCTGTTTCGCTTCCTAAGTGCATCAGGCAAGCATATTTTCTATACATTAATAAGTAAAAAAACGTATTATTGGAAACCGACATTTCCGCCATGTTTACTGTTGTGCATTTACAAAATTAAAATCAAATTGTTCAGTTAACACAGTTTATAAGTAATCTACGGACTGTATAATTGCCTGAAAGTAGAGAAATTACATTTTTATTTTATTAATTTTGTTAAACAGCCTCGAAATCGACGTCGAGCGCAGTGCTGTGACAGTATAGAGTTTCAATTGAATAAAATATTTATTATGTTGATGATCACGTCTAAAGAAGGAGGTTTTATTTAAGCAAACAATTACGCTTTTATAACAGAACGAGATTTCTCCCAAAGGCTTCGGCCACACCGTATACCTTCTTCTTGAATAACTCTGTATATTGATGAAAACTGGATAAAAATGTTTTATATAGTTTAAAAAACTTCAGCGTACATACAACGAGCAACTTTGTTTTATACTATGTATAAATGGCGTTGCTGAGCATAAATAAATATACCGTAATCTGTTTTTTAAACTTTTGATTAAGATGAAAATGGGTCCTTTATATATAACATTTACCTTGCTTACCCATTTACTATTACGAATCGTTTTAGTATATTCCTATAAAATCTTTATCACAGAAAACGATTTACAACTTTTTTACGGTTATGGATTCGAATCCCGCTTCCCAGAGCTTCTCAATGAAAAGTTCTATCCATTGATGAAAAATATCCGCGCCAAACAGGCGACAGATACGTCAGGGGCATTTCATTTTATGCCAACTATATAAATTATAATTAAGGTACATTACAAGTGGGTCAAACCTTTTTATTACCGTTACTCCTATATGACTTATCAGGAAAACTGATTTTAACCTAATCCTAAAAACTTACTTAATATTGCAACATTATATTGAAAGAAGAATCTACTTTTGTCTTGGCTGTATGGCATATATTTAGGTGCCTTTGCCTTTCCATTTCAAAGTAAATGGAAGAATGAGAACAAAAAAGAATACATAGATATCCTCATTGATAAGTGATGGTTATTTTTGAATTCACAATATATTGATATTATTGGCTTGTTCATGTGAAGTTTACTTAAATTCATTTGATTATAAGTGTATTTAAGTTGACTTAACATGAGCATAATATCAACAATTTAAGACTTCACACATATATAAATATTAAGGCAGAGAATGACATAACGCTTTAGTAGACACTTATGTAGTAGTTACCACCGCAATGAAGACTGCTACAATTCAGTCGGTCGTCAGTTTATAATAGTCGCCATTTTGCACATAATTGTCGTCCAGTGCCACAAGATGGCGTCACTAGTATCAAATCATTTATTATAATTAATTTGTTAAATTGCCATCAGTCAACATTGGGTCAGTTCATTGTCCTTTTTTAAAATTTTGTCCTGATTATTTGGTTCTTTTTTCAATACAAAAACGGTGATTTACACCCACGGGGTATTACCCCTAGACTAGGAACCATTGTAATAAATAAGCGTAAGCGTTTGCAAATTTAAATTAATAAACAGAATTTAGTATATTTTGCTGAGAGAGGGTACTGCATAGTAATTTCGCTGTCTCAAACAAACTCTTCTCTCGCAGTAAACGCGCCTATAAAAGTAAACAGAATTACCGATCTCCGCCTTTATTATGATTTAATTTTAGGAAATGATTTCACCGCGGCGACTCTCTTATCGTTGGATTTATTTTAGGCCTCTTTAATTTTAGTGAGCGTTGAAAGCTGATTGTGCTATACACTGAAATTGGTTTCAATATTAGCTTTGTTGGGTAGGGATATTTTTACAGTAGTTGCATTTTCCTACATATACTTCCGCGGACATTACTCATTTAATAAATATCTTTTGTAAACTGAAGCATGTGTAATTTTACATTTTATCTTTTGTGGATTTTGTGATCTTGGCTATTTATACTCGCTGTTTTTTTAAAGTTTTAGATCAATATCTTGACCATAGGGCCTGCAATATGTTGAAAACATATTTATAATAATAGATAATATAAATCGATATATGCTTACCAATTTTAAATTTACTTTTTATGTTGGCAATTGCTTTATGTTGGCAAACAAATCAATGTAATAATATATAATAAAAAAACTTTTACTAACTTGAATTTGCATTCATAATGCATTCGTAGTTATGTTAAAAGTACTTGAAAAAATAAATCTAGTAAACGATTATAAAATCATAGATTTTCTAAAGTATTTTTAAGTATGAAAAATTACCCTAAGTGCGATATTTAAACAACTCACATTCAACAGGTGGCAGTTGAGGGTGAACGGCTACGGCGGCTACGCGAACGCGTAGAGGCGCAGGAGTTGAAGCTGCGCCGGCTACGAGCGCTACGAGGGCAGTTAGATCGGAACAAGCAGGCGAATATAGCACTTAGTGAGTTCAATTTAATTAGATTTTCTCTTATCTTCATTGATTTTAACGGTCTACAGTGTTCACCGTTTGTATGTAATATGCAAATGATGTTAAACACATTTTATTTTTATTATTATCTATGAACATAATTTTACTGATATCGGTGTAAGTAGTTTTATTTATATGAACTGTATATAATTTTTAGTTTATGGTAACTATTTATTTGAGTGGTATATGGTTTAGATTTTTGTACTGAAAACTGCAACATCTTAATTATTAGAATATGTTCCTTTTTTTATTTTTTTTCAAATAAATAAAAATAATCTATCTGAGATTTGTGTCAGATAATAATATTCAAGTGATCTTATAAATGAATGGTTTACAAATTTCTGTTGACATATCAACAAAAAACGTGATATTACTTTGACTGTATTAAACGTAAAATAACAAGCAAATAATCACTACTTGCTCTGTATTGAAACTTTGCTCAAAAATGTTGCCTACATTAAAAAATAATTTCAAGTACCTATCAACCCTCTACCCATGACCTTTTAGTTCTTACCATGTGTGTTGACAACGGACGTATCATAGCAACCAGCTCGTGTTATCTACAACATTCAACTCTATCCTATTTAAAATAAGAACTAACGATTTGATAGAATAAATCGATAATTCTTATTAATTATGGAAATCGATGGTCGAAGGGAAGAGGGAGGGATTGATTACAAGAAAGAATTAAAATAACTCCAGCAGACCTGCCGCGTTACATAAGACATCGATTTAGTTTACATTGGGTTCAATCAAAATGCACTCGACCTTCAATACTGCATTGAACTGCAATAGGTGCCTGGGTAGAAAAAGTAGAAATTCTATTTAGTTCGGCAGTTATAGGATAGAAAATTATTTGATACGTATTTTTTTGATTTGATATAACAAGAAATATCTTAGATGACAGGCATTAAAGTTGAGGAGTGGGGGCACGCTACGTCACAGCTTTGTATAAAATATACAGTAGTCTTATGACATTTAAAGTCAACGTATTGGTGTCATTTATTGATTACGTAAACAAAAAAAAATACGAGTTTAATATTTTTCAATAATCTTCCTGACGAACAGATAAAAACAATTAGCTATCATCTCTATACTGTATTTAACGTTGAGTACAAAATGTATCTTACAATATATAGAAAGTTGAAGGCATTTTAACTGTCAAATTCAATATACTTACGGACTGCTGGACTTTAGTTTTTAAATGTAGTATAGTAAGCAGCAGCAGTCAAATGCCAGCGTTTGCGGCAGTCAAATGCCAGCGTTTGCGGCAGTCAAAGGGTTGATACAAATTATAATATCAATAATATTAAATCAATGTTGAAGTAGTTAGACTTACCTATCACAAAGCTCGTTTACGAGCATGACGCACGAGCCAGTTGTTGTTTTATTCAAACATATTTTAGGGAGTGTAACAATCCATCCCACACTACGTTACTGCAAGAATTTTTATTGAAGAGAGTTAATTTGTTAGTTTTTACTACTCTACTCATACTATGAATAGATTTTAGGCAACTGCATAATACGGCACGAAACTATCGTAGGACTATATCATAACATCAATTAATTTTAATATGCATACGGATGCAAATAAGTAGCTCTCATTCCGATATTTTCACGAACTTCATTAAGTTTCAGTAATTATATGCATCCACTGTGGGTTCACGACTTTACATTTGGATAACATACGTAAATCTGGCTATTATCCATCACACAGTTTCAGTGGTACTCTATGGGTGTTAATAATAAAAAATTTGCTACTATACGATATGTTGTAATCGATCGTTTAAAATACCTTTCGAAACATGAAATACCTCTACATAATAAATTCTTATCACCCATTTCATGACCGAACTCTTTACAGGTTACATTTCCGCAATAATATATCGTGTAAAGTTTTTCGCGGGATTGCTACCATGTACCTTGTTTTTGTTGAGTTCCCGATATTTACAAAACTATCGTTCTAGTGTAAATGATCATAAAAGCTTAAAAAAACTATATTATCGTATAAAGCTCTAATAAATTAATAGATACAAATCTTTTTATCGCTGCTGTAAAAGGAAAAAAAACGGTTAAATTTATGAGACGATGTCAATAAAGTAAAATACCCAGCAGGTGTCTCGACGGACACTAATTTTAACGCTTCCGAGTCACTAAGGAGGATCCTCGAAAAAATCTCTTCTCGCTCCCACTTTAATTAACTTTAGCGTTCGAGCGCTGGAGCCTCGCGAATCCCCAGGTGTAGTTTATGGAAGGACCGGCGATTGGCCTTTGAATCTTTGACAGAAAGCCTAATTAAATTTGTAAATTTCAGCGTTAACCTTGGATGATAATTCACCATGTCACCGACCCTTAATCAAATGTTGGCGAGCGAACATTATATTAGTCCAAGCATTTTTTTTGACTTTGGCTATATTAATGCACAGTTTTATTTATTAAAACACATAATATATGACCGGTTATTTAAGGAGCCAAGCTTAATCAATATTTAGAATCATAATAATTTCATAAATTCGGTCTAAAAGCCACTAAAAACAGTCCTCTGTTATGTCCTAATTCCCGATCGAGTATGATTCAGTTCGGTTTTTATTAGTTGTATTTAAAAATGCAAAATCTTATAACTCTATAAACATGAAGAATACTGAATGCATGTAAACAAAAAACAATTATAATTTTAGATAATTTTTTAATACCAAAAACTAGTGTTCGAATTTTGTCCAATACATTTTTGAACAGTCCTCTGTCACAATTTGAATATCACGCCACAAAAATATTAAACACTATTGTGCTTACATTTCCCTTGAAATCGGACGTTAACAGTGTGAAGTTTGTTCGGTCGCCATGCTAAAAAAGTCGCCGACATTTTGCGCAGTGAAAACTCCACGTCTGTATGGGAGCCACGTCTCTGTAGTGTTGAGTGAACATTCCTCTGGTAAGTCTATCTTACGGTGTTTTATGTGTTAAAATTATATTTATTTAACAAAAAAATTGCTTAGTTTGATAATTTATAGCTGTTTCTGTGTTATGAAGTAATATTTTAACTGATACGTGGTATGACATTTTTCAGGTAAAATTACAGTCCTCTGTGCAACAGTCCTCTGGAAATTTATAACACAGAGGACTGCTCAATGTGACAGAGGACTGTTTTATTTGACGTCCGTGTATTTTATTAATATTCTTTATAGTCTGCACTAACCTACTGCTTGTCGATAGCCTCCTTCTTTCTTACAATAAACAAACGTGACTCGTGCCTCTGTATAAAGCACGCAAACATCGATCTATAACTGTCAGCATTGCACAGGCGAAGAATACAAAAGTCACAATGCACTGCTTGAAAAGAGATGTTGTAATCGCTATGACGAGCTGTTTGTCGCGAACCTGCCAACGCTGTATTGACAAGAATCCTGACGACAGGGAGTTTGTTGACAGCAAGCCTATTGAATTTAAAAATGGATATCCGAGAAACAAACTTACAACCCCAAGACCAAGAATGCTCGAACAGTTACCAAATACCTAAAGAAAACGTTCACGGTTCGCCCTCGAGAACTAATAGAAGAGCTGCACGAGGATTTGGAAGCCTATTATCAACACGAAAGAAACATTACCCATCAATACAATGCTATCAAGAAATACAAACAAAACCAAAACCGGCGAAGACGCTATTATACATATTAATTTTTCAGAAAATTATTGTTCAAAATACGGTCAAGAAATACAAGCATTTCATTTTGGAGGGTCAAGACTTCAGCTAAGTCTTCATACTGTGGTAGTGTATACCAAAAACTCTATTAAGTCTTATTGTACTGTTTCCAAAAATCTTACACATTCACCAGCTGCTGTATGGGCACATTTGCGGCCAATCATTAAAACTCTCCCACATAACATAAAGAGCATCCATTTCATCAGCGATGGACCCGTAACTCAATACAGAAACAGAACGATGTTTTACATCCTGGCATCAAGGCTTCAACAAGAAGTTTTAAATGTGAAGAAGTTTACGTGGAACTATTCAGAGAGTGGTCATGGCAAAGGGGCCCCTGATAGCATTGGAGCGACCTGCAAGAGCACCGCTGATGCCGTCGTCGCGACAGGTGGTGATATTTATAGCTTGGAATCATTTGTAGAGGCCATTCAACGAAGATGTTCCGCAATTACCTTGATCACAATCGACGATAAAGCCATCCAAGAATTGACAGAAGACCTTCAAAATGATACAGTTGATTTAAAAAGCTTTAATGGCACTTTAAAAATTCATCAAGTAAAGGCTGAAATAATAAGAAGTCCTCTGATATCAGCTCCAAGTGCCACTAAACTCATAATGAAAAGTTTAAGTTGCACTTGTGAAGGCGAGTGCCAGCATTTCAATTTAGGAGTATTACAGTACAAAAACAAGACAAAACTTAACGTAGATGATATTTACACAGACTCTGAATGGACAACTCACAGGATTCCACAATGGAGACCGACGACGATGCTGCACTGGCTGGACCTAGTTCAATCAACCAACAGAATTACACCATCGGTGATTACGTCTTGGTTAAATTTCTAGTAAGAAACACTGAATATTGTTATGCTGCAGTAATCAACAAAATAGACACGGAAGAAGGTGAACTAACAGTAACTTTCCTAAAATTTGTGATGACAAAGGACACACATTCAGAGTCGATGAAAATGATGTTTCTGATGTGTCCTTTGACCAAGTATTAAAGAAGTTGCCAAACCCAGATATTGCCCTGAAAGGGAAACTAATATTTTATTATTTTAATATACCTGTACCTGTTTTTGACAAATAAGTCTGCGTTGATAAGTAAACAAGGCTGATTCTTAGTACCTAAGCTTAATTTTGATTATAATTCTTTTAATTCGTTACTTAGAGAGCTAAACTCGCAATTTGTTCGTGATAGAATATGTATAAGTATTTAAATTCTGTATGTGATACAGTATTCAATAAAGAAGAGGATTTATTTGATTAC